CATCAGACCCTCTCCCTCTGCAGCAAAAGGTGGAACCTTTTGGGATTTGGCCCAAAAAGCCCCTTGGGCAGTTTGGAGACCAAAGGCTCTGTGCCCACCACACCTGTGACACCGTGACCATCGGCCACACTGCCCCTACACACCATCCCAGGGGATCTTGCCTTTCCCTGCCTTCACACCCATGTTTTCAGCCACCTTACCTCAAGTGCCAGGTGACTTCCAGGGCATTAAGGAGTCATTTCAGCCAGCAGGAGAATTGCTTCGCTTGGAGAAAATGGAATAATTGCAACTTTGCGGGGAGAAAAGCCCACACACCCTGAGCAAAGGCGGTCTCAGGGGCCACGGAGCAGTGTGACATTCCAGAGGAGCTGTAATTCCCAGGAACACCCACGACAGTCAGCCACAGGGCCAGCTCAACCCCTGCTGCAGCTCCCTGCTCGGGAGGGAGGGCAGCACTGGGAGAAGGTCCCACCATCTTCCCGGTGGGGAGTTCATTTTCAGGGAAAAAACAGAGCAAGTTTCAACTGTGCCAAAAATATCACCTGAGTGGGGGGAGCTGCCTCATCCTGCAGCCAAGGGTCCTTTCCATTGGGCTTCCTGGCCCTTCCTCTGGGTGTAGCTGGAAAAGAGCAGGCCATGGTCCCTTCCCAGTTCCCAAACTTCCTCTGCATCCCCAATGATGGGACAGGGTGTCCCCTCCAGGGCACAGCCCAGGGCCCAGCACCCTCCTGCAGGGCTCCAGCCTCAGGGCAAAGGTAACCCCCTTGAGCTGTTCTGGACAGGACGGGGTTGGGATGAGGTTTGGAAAGCTCCAAAGGCCCCATCTGGGCACCTGGATTTATCCAGCCTCACACAGGCACCAACTCACCTATTAAACACACCTCCCTTTTGAAGCCAACACTTCATTTGGTCAACATCATTACCAAGTCAGGGTGTAACCACAGGTGGGACAGACCTGTTCCAGCTTCCTGACCCAGGAGAGCTGGATGCATCTGTGTGTGGAAGCAGGAGCCTGCCCCCTCTGCCCTCTTCACAGGGATAGTCCTATTTTAGGCCACCCCAAACATCATTCCCATAAGGCCTGTTGGCTTCTCCCCATGAGGCTGCTTGGAGCACCTCGAGGTGATCACAAAGGGATTCCTAAATCCAGCTGAGTTTGCCGTGATCAGAGCCCACCTTTTTCCCAGAAAACTTGGACATGTTCCTCACCTGGAGGCACAGCATCCATCATCCATCCAGTGTGCTGGGGGTGGGGACACAGCCTGAGCCCCCTCAGCCCCCCCAGCTCCACGTGTGAGGTGACAAGAGGGGACCCAAGGGCACACGCTGTCCCAAGGAACAGGCTGCACACAGGGCTTTATTACACAGGCAGGATCCACACTATCCCGGGAGCTGTCAGATGGATGCAGGTGAGCCAGTGTTTCCTGTGTTAGGTAAAAGCTCCAGGATATTTCGGGAACAGCAGGGATTCCTCAGCGGGTGATGCCAGCGCAGGCCCTCTGGTGGGAAGGGTGTGCAGTAACAGGTCCCCCTGGGTCACCTGACCACCACCCCAACCGGTGATTCAAGAATTCCACACTGCCCATCGACCACTTTCTATGGCTGGGAAATACCTGGGACACCAAAGCTGGGAAAAATGCAGGTGTTGGTTGTCATTCCCATACGAGACCAAACCGGATCGAAACCACAGATGTTCGCCAGGCAGGAGCCCTGCAAGCTCCTGCCACTTCCAAAATCTGGGGTTACGCCCTTGGAATTACACCGTGGCATTTGTGCCATTTTCCTCTGGATAAACACTTCCCTGGAAAAGCACCCTTTG